GAGGGGTGTTGCAATTGTTTCAGGAAGGGGAGGTTTGAGAAGGGGTGGGGTGAAAAAAACGGGCATGTGGTGTGGTTGGTGCGCGCACAGCAGTTGTTGATTAACGGGCTGGTGTGGGAGGGTGTTCACGAATGCTACCGTGTCCGTGAATGCTGCTTTGGCTTTGATGACGTACGGAGGGGAGTGACGTTCAATGAAAATCCTTCGTGTTTCCTCGAAGCAGAGAACAGGGGAGCGAATTCGACGAATTTCAAGCACAATAACAGGAGAATTACGGAGAAAACGTGGAGCGACAGACTCAAAGAAGTATCTCGACAGAAAGCGAGTCCACCACGTGTCCGTCCATTTACCCGCATGCCGTAGGAAGCTGAAGAGCTCACGGGCTTACGCGACTGCATACCGGTTCTCGACGGACCGTGGACGACCGTCGACGACCGTAGACGACCGCCTGCGGTGCTTCTGCTGGTTTACCTCGCCATGTGTCACGAACGGATGCTTTCAACCACACGGGATGCCTAATACCTATCTGGCGCAGTGTACTCGGCACTCACGATGCGCCACGCGTCTCTCTCTTCGAGCTATCCGTCAGTACTCACGCCATGCGTCGCATCGGTCTAGGTTTCCTGGAAACGCAACGAATCATGTTGCTCCACTAGTCCACCGTTAAATAGTAGTTACTTCTCCGAATTAAGCATCGCATTGCCCCACTCGTTACTAGCACACTCACGCATCTCGTCGATCCCTCGGAGGTACGCTTTGTAGTCGTAGAGTTTCGCCATGGTCGCGCGACACTCCTTCAGGTCCGCCTTTATCTGTGCGACAGTCGGCGAGGCGCGCGACGGGGCGACGGCGACGCAGAGAAGCATCGCACATGCGACAGCAAGCGACAACGCTGGCATAGGTCGCGTGTGCGCCATGGTTGACTGGAGGAAAGGGACGTGGAGGTTTCGGCCTGCTTTGCGACAACACTGGCAAGTAATTAAAATTCGCTCGACCAGCGAGGAAGGGCGCTGACGAAGATAGGAAAACGTTCAACCTCTAGCGGCATAGGAAATTTGGAACGCTGGCGAATAGACTCCAAGTTGATGATAATCAACTGACCAAGTTGAGGTTGAGTAGCGGAGGCTGGACCTCGACAGAGAAAACGACGGCCTCGGAAATACAGCGGAAACGGAGAGGCTGAGCGGAGCACAGTGATGTGGTCTGGCAGAAAGACGAAACCGAGAGACTGGCAGAAGTGAGCGAGTTACGGAAGAAAAATTACATGAAATATACTCTATATCAGCGGGCATGAAATTCGGTCATTCAGAAAGCATTGTGAATATCTGTGCGAGGGGGCAAGGGTAGTTTGGAGCTCGTGTCTGGCACTAGTGTGAAAAGAATCCACAACTGCGGTGAAGAAATTGCTGATGCGGCAGATTCGTAGCTTTTAGTAAGAAGAAACTCTCTATTCTCCAAGCGTACAGTATTTGCCCATGAATCTTCCTAGTTACCCGATCTGAGCCCAGAAGTGAGGCAAATCAAGACCGAGCTCTTCTGTCTGGAGATCGGTTTCGGTCGGACCGCGCGCACAGGTTTGGCTTGGTTCGGTTGGCGTGGTGTTTGTGGCGGCGGCAAGGGAGGGGACTACAGAGACCCTAGTCGCATTTTGTTAGGGCACTCTCGCTGTAAAGGTTGCACTCAAATATAATGAGTGACCTTATTCAAAGGCTGATATAAAACTTTTCTTAGATACGCTTGTTCCCGCTTTCGGACCATAAGAGAGCGGATTGTGGAACTGGCTTTGCTGTCGGTTGGTCTACTGCCCCTGGGCAAGTGGTGAAGGTAGTGCAGCACAAATGCTTGGTTGCTGCTGGCCCTCCGGCTGGTTCGGGCAGTAGCCAAACAAAGTTTGGGAGGACGTTCGCAATGGCGACGCGGGATTGATTTGGTTTTCAACCCAGCCTCAGTGGTTGGTTTGGGACGGAATGCTTCACTTGCCCAGCAATGATGAGGTGGGGTCAAAGGCTCGCTTGTGCGTTTCGATAAGGCAAAGCTTTCGTCAATTGTCATGTAGTTCTATCTCAAATAACGTTACTAAAAAAGGTGATCAAATCAATGCCCAACGCCCATCCAGCAAATCAAATAATACGGCTACCTCTCAGAGTAATGAATTGAGTATTCTTAGGGGATACACTGGGATATAACCTAAGGTGTTGTACTCTCTACGAGCATGCACCTATCTAGCCTATAACATATACAATTATATGTTGACACATCCCCTAGGCTAAACAAGGGGCAATGACTAGCACAAGACACGCAGCTCAGGGTGGCACTACTAGTCCAACCTCTGAGAAAAGTGTCTGAAGACCAGTCAGCAAGAGAACAAAGAAAACAAGAGTAACCAAAGGCGGCACAACTAGTCCAGCCACCACAACAGAGCCACAAGGCCAGTCAAGATAATATTAGGAGTAGTACACAATCAAGGTCCTAGCAAGTGAGAAGCTACATGAACTAGGCCAAGCTGTACACAGTGTCGCTGATGATCTTTAGGCGCAAGCGCCTTCGTAAAGATATCAGCTGTAATGGCACCGGAGGCCAAGTGGACTACGCAGGCCTGATGACGCTGCTGTAGCTTGTGCAGGAGGAAGTACCGCAGCTGGATGTGCTTCTCTCTGCCCTCCAATTGAGGCTCCTGATACAATAGGATCATGGCCCTATTGTCAGCGTACAGAACTGAGGCAGAGCTAGGCCCCTCACCAAAGTTTGTGAACAAGAAGGTCAGCCAGCGGAGCTCCTGTTCCGCCATGGCACCGGCGTAGATCTCAGCCTCACATCTAGACTTAGCAAGAGACGACGAGTGGGTGGACCTCCATGAGATGGCGCCTGCACCAAGGCTAAAGCAGTAACCCTGGGAGGACCTGAGCGTCTCAGCGTCGTGTGCCCACGAAGCGTCTGCGTGCTCTGTAAGGACCACTGGTCTGCCTCCCCGCACTAGCCCCATGCCCGATGTACTTGCTAGATAATGCAAAACCCTCTTAGCGGCCGACTAGTGCTGTGGCCGGTGTCTGCCTGTGGCCACAAAGCGAGCCAGGATGCTGAGAGGGTATGCGAGATCTGGGCGAGTGCTAGTCATCAGGTACATGAGGCAACCCACCAGCTCTACGTAAGTACCATTAGACTCTACAGACTCCTCAAAGACTGGAGCAAAGAGCCTGTGATCTACTGGCAGAGGTGGCGGCAGTGCAGAGGAGAACTGAAGACCGAACGTCTGAAGGACCTGGCGCACCAAGTGTGACTGTGTAAGAGTGATGGTGCGCGCTGCTCTGTCCCCGGAGATCTGCAGGCCAAGGTAGCGGAGCAACTCTACTAGGTAAGTGCCGGTGTGTCTCCTCAGCAGCTTTGCCTTCACGTAGCCCAGTGCGTCTCTGTCTGCATTAGCAAAGACCAGATCGTCTACGTAGACAAGGATGTAGAACCGGTTCTGGCCAGCACGAACGAAAAGAGCAAAGGGTCTGCAGACGACGGGCAGAACTGCAGGTTAGCTAAAATAACACGCAGCATATCGTGCCACTCACGGGGGACCCGCCGCAGGCCGTAAACCGGGCGCCGGAGGAGCCACCCTGTACCGGGGGTGAAGGTGCCGGTGAAGACGGGCGGACGACTTTGGTAGACCTGCTCGTGTAGACTGCCCTGGAGAAACGTTGTGGAGAAGTCGAAGGAGTGCAGCTCGTAGTCACGCTGTACTGCTACAGATAACAGCGCCTGAAGAGTAGTTATCTTTGGGGTTGAGGCGAAGGTTTGAAAGAAGTCAACACTCTTGCACTGACTGAAGCCTTTAGCCACGTGGCACGTCCATCGGACATCGACTACGTTCACCACGGGTGGGGGAACTGTATCGACATAGGTGCCGGTGGATCTCCAATATGCCATCTCCGCGTCCATGGCAGCTATCCACTGAGAGGGCCAGGATCCCAAGGGCGCCTCAGCGTAAGTGCGAGGGGTCGGGATCTCAAGGGCGTCTGGGTCACTCTCATGGACTAGCAGCATGGAGCAGAGATAAGGCGCGACCTCGGGTAGGAAAGCTAGCTCGTACTGCCGGTCCTCAAGGACATCACTGCCAAAGGAAGAAGCGCCCCCGATGGACGGGGGACTGGCAGTGTTAGATACCAGAGGTGTGGCGTAGTCAAGACGGCGGGTAGAGGCAAAGTTAGCGACGGCAGCGACAAGAGTGTCAAGACTTGAGACAGGAACAAACGGGTCGGTTACGAGGGAGGCAAGGACCCGAGGAATAAGAGGACTAGCGGCACAAAGGAAGTCAGACAGAGGAGGCGAAGCGATAGAAAGCAACAACGGAGGTGGAGAGGATGAGACGCGTGGGAACGGAGCAACATAGGGTGACAGTGCTTAACAGAAGAGACACGACGAGCACGGGAGGGACAGCGAGACCAGAAGTGAGTTGGAGGCGTCGGGTAAGGAGACACAAGAGGAGAACGAGGGGGAAAACGAGCCATAGATGTCGCATTGCCTCTCCCTGATGGCCCGACTCTCCCTTCTAGCCCGGCTTCTCCTGTGCCTTCCCTTTCCTTCCCTGATATGTAATTGTCACTGATTTCTCCCGCTCTAACGAAAGGCTTCAAGGAAGCTTTCTTAGTTCAATACCGCCCCTGTCTGGCCTCTCTACATAGCTCTAGCTGTGCTCCTGAATGAATCCACTACTCACAGAGCATACACGCTTTCCTATGATAACAAGAGAACAAACAAAAGTAGCTACACAACTACGCACTTGCAGTTTTGTGGCTACCTCCTAGTAGATTCACTCCGGAGCGCGCACCCCTCCCTCCCTTGAGATCAGCCGATGTTCGTTTCGGGTTTTTCTCCACCGTGATGGCTCCATGTCGCTTTGCGATCGACGCTGCCTCCTGCCTTCCTGCATGCCTTCTTCCCTAACTGCTCTCGACCCGCCCAGCTGTACCCTTCCTGCATGCCTCTCTTGCCAACGGTCGCACCGCCTTTCTGCATCCCAACCTCGATCTGAACACCCATCACTGTACACCCCCTTTTATCGCCATAACCATGTACACCCCTCTTTCTCCAACCCTTTTTGCTTAAACTTCCCGAGTTGTCCCACGGATTTTCATAACACATTCGTTATGTCAATTCGTGCGACAGCTGTCTCATTCCCCCTCCCCGATGGCCCGACTCTCCCTTCTAGCCGGGCTTCTCCTGTGCCTTCCCTTTCCTTCTCTGATATGTAATTGTCACTGATTTCTCCCGCTCTTGCCCCCTCGTTGCTGGTGTAGCGTCCCTGCCACCTGCCGCAACCCTCCTGCGCATGCTACATTCGAGTCATGGTCCCGCACTTGCCGCCCCTTTGAATCTCGCAACTCTAGCACTCCCGAGCCTTTCACCTTCACCACCTCCCAGCGCTCCCGGCTCAGTCCGCACTCCAGCGTGTCCCTGCGCTGTTACCTCAGGTACACCTCATCCCCCACCTGGAGCGTTTGTGGTCGCCCCCCGCCTTCCTTGGTCCCTTGCTGCCTCTGGCTGTAGCGCCTGGCATCCCTCAGCTGAGCTACCTCTAGGTTTTGTAGTGCCGCCGGCAGTACTGACCGCAGATAACTAGCGCGTGTTGCAGCCACTGCCGCCCATTGTCGAGGGTCATCTGTCCCCATGGGCTCCATCATGATGCGTGGGGCGTCTACTGGCAGTATCGGTTCCTTCCCGTAGAGCTGGAAGTACGGGGAGTAGTTTCTCAGGGCCTGCTGCTTGCTGAAGCGATACCCTGCGGCCACCCATGGGAGCTGCAAATCCTATTCCCTTCTCTCCTCTTCTTCACAGTACTTCCGCAAGCCCTACTTCAAGGTCTGTACCATCCGTTCAGTTAAGCCATCCGCTTGCGGATGATACCTCGAGGTCCGTCGGTGGGTTATCCCCACTTCTTTCACCACAGCATCGAATTCTCCAGCGAATTCAGTACCTTGGTCTGTCAATACTTCTCCACACGCCCCGAACCTGGTTAGCACTTGCTGCACGAATCCCTCTGCTACTCCCGCGGCTGTCTTCCGCGCCAATGCAGCCACTTCCAGCCACTTGCTAGTGTGCTCGATCATCACCAGCACATATTGCTTACCCTGGCTGGAGAGTGGAAGTTCTCCTGCTATATCGAGGGACCATCGGTACCCTATCTGACCAATTGGCAGTAACTGCAAGTTCCTCCGAATGCTTCCCAGCTGCACCTTACTCTTATTGCACGGCTCGCACTGCCTCACCACTGCTTTTACCTCTGACCGCATCCCATCCCACCAGTACATGGTCTATAGTTGTTGCATGGTCCGCTCGACTCCGTAGTGCCCCAGCTTTGTATGAATCTTGGTGATTAGCTCCCCTCTCTCTTCTGGCCTTGGCACAATATGCCAGCCATCCTCTGTCACTAACTGCAACTGGTTTTCCTGCCAGTGGTAGTGCACACCTCGCGCCCGCACCCTCTCCGAGACCTCTGCCCCATCCGCTCCCACTCCTCTCACCCAGTCTAGCACTGGAGCATCTTCCCATATTTCTCTGCTTCCCTTGAGCTCTGGTGACCTTCTCCGCCAACAAACCTTTTCCACAGCTACTGCCATGTGGGCCAGACTGATCTCGGCCGTCGGCTGCCTCTTTTCCCCTTCCCCTTTGTCTTGCCGCGACAGCCCATCCACGTGCTGCAAGGTTTTGCCTGGCCTATGCTTTATCTCGAAGTCGAACTCCTGGAAGCGCATCGCCCAAAGCGCATTCCTGCCCTTCAGGGTTTGGTTCCGCATGAGCCAGAGCAATGGCTGATGGTCAGTTACTAGGGTGAATCTTCGCCCCTGCAGATATGATCGAAACAGCTCCACCGCCCATACCGCCGCCAGCCCTTCTCCCTCGTATGAACTGTAGTTACTCTCCGCTGGCCTGCATGACCGGCTGGCGTAAGCCACCACCCTCTCTGTCCCCTTCTCCCTCTGGCACAGCACCGCCCCCATGCCGCTACTGCTCCAGTCCGTGTACAGCAAAAACGGTTCCTCGGGATCGGGCAGCTTCAGCATGGGGGTCGTTTTCACAGCCTCCTTCAGTGTCTGCCACGCCTCCTCCTGCTCTCTCCCCCAACTCCATGCCGTATCTTCTCTCAGCAGCATATTGAGTGGCTTCGCCGTCTTACTAAAGTTCGGGACAAACTTTCGGTAATAGTTGAGAAACCCCAACTGTGCCCGAAGAGTGCTACGGTCATAGGGGGCCTTCAGGCGATCCACGACTTCTACCTTGGCCTGCTGGACCGATAGTCCTCCTTCTCCCACCTGAAAGCCCAGGTACGCCACGGTTGTCACTTCGAAAGAGCATTTCCCCGGATGGCATGTCAATCCGGCCTCCTGCAAGGCCTCCAGCGTCTTAGCTACGTCCTTTACGTGCTGCTCCCCGTCTTTGCTATGGATCACTACGTCGTCGATGCAACACAAGGCGCAGGGGACGTTCTGCAGTACCTGGTCCATCACCCTCTAGAACTTCGCCGAGGCGTTTTTCAGTCCGAATGGCATGAAATTCCATTCGTATAGGCGGTCCGGCCCATGAAATGCCGTCTTCGGTTTATCCTCCTCTCTAATAGGTATCTGATTAAAGCCCTATCTCAAATCCAGAGTGGAGTAAATCCTACTCTCCGCCAGCTTGTCAAATATTTCTTCGGCCATCGGCATCGAGTACCTGTCACTCTGAGTGATCTGGTTTAACCCCCTGTAATCTCCGCACATCCTTCTAGCCAGCATTTCTTCCGTCAGATCCTTCCTCGCACCACCGTCGCCGCTGCGTACTCCGAAGTTGATTCTTGGATCAAACCGGCCTCTAGGAGTTCTCTACATTTCTCTACTGCTATGTCTCTGTCCCCCGGGCTAAGTCGCCGCCTTCGCTGATATACTGGCGCTTCACTCTGCAGCTCGATCGCCATCTCCGCCCTGGTGCACTTGCCCAGCTCTTGTAGGGAGTATGCGAAAGCTCCCCGTGCCCCCTCCAGTACCTTCTGCATCTGCCACTTTTGCTCCTCATTCAGCCCGTCATCCATGCTCCAAGCACCTTCTCCTTGCCCTGCTGGCTCCGCTTGTCGTGTGTCTCCCTCTTCGATTCCCACCGACTCTCCATTCCCCTGGGGCACCTCCACTTCCTCTGGTCCTCGCCGGGCCATTAGATTGAGTCCTCTCGCATTTAGCAATCTCCCGCTGCAATCCCTCTCGGCCTGCATCTGCCCTCTCCATTGTCGCCATTCCTCTGCCGTCTCAAAGGCCTTCTCTGGTTCCTTGTCTAGCATCTCCTCTCCACCTCCACATCATCAGCAGCTGGGCTCTCATCCCTTCTTGCCGTTGCTCTGCCCGGTACAGCAGCCAGACCAGTGCATGCTGGTCCATCGCGCCTCCCAGTGCTCTCCTCCGGGCCTCCTCCGATACCCCATCTGCTGCTGTGGCGTTCCTCAGGTACCCCATGGCTCTCTCCCGCTCCACCGCCCACGGCTCCTCCCATGCTTCCGTAGCAATGTCTTGTACCATGCCCGGCCCTGTCGCCCCTCTTCCATCCGGAATGCGTAACTACCGGGTGTGGCAACCAACTTCGGCTAGACTTGCCTTGGTGCCCCCACTTCATTGCATGGGAATTGATTCCGCGCGTCTGGGGTAGTCACCGGAGCTGGCCTCCTCCCTGGCTCTAGGATGTCTTGTACTAGTCTCGGCACGGGTCTCTGCATCCGCCCTAGCTGGTCTCTCAGCACCGGCTCTGGAATCATGTTCTGCCAGTAGCGGCGGACTCTCCTCGCCTTCGACCCCATCTGCGCTGCATCCCAGGCCACTCCATGGCCCAGTTCCTTGGTCACCAGCTTATGAGCTTCCCTGGCCAGGGCCCTCTCATCCTCGGCTACATCCAGGTTTTCCACGTTATAGGAAAAGGGTCCTTGTCGCCTCTTGATCATCTTCATTACTCTGATCAGTTCATGAAACAGTGCTGTCCGGGAATCAACCAGCCCTCGTCCCATGCCTTCCCTTGACAGCCCCTGGCATTCCCAGCCCGCCACCAACAGGTCCACCTGCCCCCAGCTTTCCACCACCTCCTCGGTAATGGCATTTACATCATCTAGTGCTTCGGCTTCCGCCTCTGCCCTGCTATCACTGATATCGACGCACTCGCAGTTTTGTGGCTACCTCCTAGCAGATTCACTCCATAGCACGCACCCCTCCCTCCCTTGAGATCAGCCGCTGTCCGTTTCGGGTTTTTCTCCACCGTGATGGCTCCATGTCACTTTGTCATCGACGCTGCCTCCTGCCTTCCTGCATGCCTTCTTCCCTAACTGCTCTCGACCCGCCCAGCTGTACCCTTCCTGCATGCCTCTCTCGCCAGCTGTCGCACCGCCTTTCTGCTTCCCAACCTCGATCTGAACACCCATCACTGTACACCCCCTTTTATCGCCATAACCATGTACACCCCTCTTTCTCCAACCCTTTTTGCTTAAAATTCCCAAGTTGTCCCACGGATTTTCATAACACATTCGTTATGTCAATTCGTGCGACATAGATGAGTCTGGCAGAGGAAAAACAGGGCCATAGACAGGCAGGGGGGGCGGCGGCGGCGGAGGCTCAGGCAGATGGTTACAGGAGGGAAGACCGAAAAGGCGAAGGCCGGAAACCGGCGACGACTGCTATTGCGGCTGCGGCTCCGCGCCGATACCAGAACCTGCTGCTGCACCACGGCTACCTCCGAGATACTCCACGCCAACACCCCCAGAGCGAGAACCCTTGCCAATACCGGCGCCACCCCCTGGACCGTCGGGACGAGCTACGACAGTAACCTCAGGACTAGCACCCCCAGAACCAGCACCCCTAGTACGAAAACCCTCTCCAGCACTGGTGCCACCCCCAGGACCACTGGGACAAGCCACGTCAGGAACCCCAGGATGAGCACCCTTCTCAACGCCCGCACCCCTAGAGCTTGAGGACCCCTGCGGCGGCTGCTGCTGCGGCGGTGGCGACTGCAGCAGCTGCTGCGGCGACAACAATGCCGGCTGCTGGGACGGCGGAGGAGGAGACACCGGGGTGGAGACAGGCGGCGAGAACGGCACCGCAGGGCCACCAGAGTTAGCCGACTCCTCGACCCGGACAACCGACGGGGAGGTGAGTGATGTGAGACACACCAGACGGGGAAGGACGGGGAGGGAGAGGAGCAGGGGCTACTGGGGGGGTGGGAACCAGAACAGGGCGGGGAAACCGGGAGACCTCGGTGGGGAAATTGGTGGTAGAAGGAGACAAACTCAT